AAACTCCCCACACATTCACTCAACATTTCCCCAAATCTCTCTCACCCCCCCCTTCCTCTATACTTTTCTCTTCCACCAGTGCATTTATGCTTATTATTAACCCACATCTCACAATCGTACTTTTATTTTACCTCCACATAATCCTTGAATAATACAGTTATAGTCCACTCTTTTCCTGTTAAAAGCTTATCCTTCAACATAATGCTACTCTCCCTTCTTTAGCTCTAACTTATTTGAAACCCCTGAGACCTAATCACATTTTATTCCTCTCCACTGAAACTCACCCAACCCCTTCAGCTTTGTTTTCACTTAAAGCCAGGACATCCATGCTTCTTCTCATTCATAACATCCACATTATCTCTTCTTATCTTCGCCACAACATCCACGCACATGCGAATTCCCACTTGTCAATATTTCTTCTTTACTTTTAGTAATTATTAACCGAAAAAGGGCTAACTATCCCATTTTCCAGGCATTTTAGTATAGAGTTTTACAACACACATGGCTGCGGAAAAGATTCTTATGCCACGCCCTGATATAAAAGGAAAAGTAATAAAACAAGAACTAAGATAAAATCAAAGAAAACTCAGACAAGTGTGTATAAATAAATGTGTACATGTATGTTTAGTGTGACCTATGTGTAAGTAGAAGTAGCAAGACGTACCTGTAATCTTGCATATTTATGACACAGATAAAAGACACTAGCAATCCTACCATCATGTAAAACAATTACAGGCTTTCGTTTTACACTCCCTCGGCAGGACAGTAGTACCTCCCTGGGTGGTTGCTGTCTACCAACCTTCTATTATATGCTGATAAATTTTTCTTGTAAAAATTATTTGAAATTTTATCATATTTCAAACTTAATCTAGTAAGCTATTACCAACTGGTATACACTACCCTTTCTGCTGCCCCATTATTTAGAAGAGGTTGGGAATAATTTGACTACTTTGTCTTTCATACTGACAGTAAGGCTTGAACCCATTACAAGCACATGTATGGATAGCTATTGAGTGTTAAACAACCTTTGTATTATATATCAAGTAAATTTTGAATAGAACATTTTCCACTTCAAACCTTTGGTTTTTGCCTCTAAGAGTTTAATACCTCCATTACTGGGTGACCCTGTCTTGTTAATATTTAGAACCACCACCAAACATTCAGCAAGGTATACCTGCACAGTCTATCTAAATATGGTTTTCATGTTTATTTCTATCCTTTCACACTCTTTTATGACTCATCTGAATTTATTTTCATCCACATTTTTCCTTCCAGGAAACAATTATTATTTGTTACAATAACAAGAAAAGCACAGACAAACCTCATGTGGCCCTCCGTGGCCATAGTTTTTTCTTTTACTGAATCCTCAAGAAAATTTCCATGCTGTATCCCCTGTTTTTATTCACTGACTGAACGATCCCTCTTAAAGCATTCAGCTGAATAACACGGCAGAACATCTGCAGCCTGGGAAAAAAACAATGCCCATTAAAAAACATGGAAAGTCTGCAAGGATAGGGATTAGCATTTTCAAAAACTCTTCAATGTACAAGACAAAAAAACATAATCCAAAGAAGAGTAGTCATACTTTATCCTCCCCACTCATGCCTCCGCATTGGCTTCATCAGCCACAACCCAGACTTGAGGTTGTCCAAAGATAGTGGGTCATGATCTTTGGAGTGCTTGGGCATGTTCCATAAACTTTCTAACATCTCTTCCAAAGTCTCCCACCCCACTTCCACACCACTTCTTAGGTAGCAACTGTCTTCCCATTGCTTAAGCTAATGTAGCATAGTATTACATGTACCTTAAAAAAAAAATATACAACGATCATGGACTTATAACATTCGTTATAACCCGTTTTCATATAATAGTCTATAGAGAAACTTACTTTATTTATGCAAGATTAAACATATGATTATGCTTGTGGCCCAAAAAGAAAAAACAAAAAGTTTATGTTTTTTAACCTTTCACTGTCAGTGACATAAGGTAAGGCTTACAAGCAAAGTGTTGGTAACTTATAATAAACCAAAATTCTAGTGGAGAAAGTTGGGTAACCTACATGTGAGGAGAATGGGTCTTGTTCAGTGTGCAAGTCATAAAAACAATCCTGCAGCACGTATGCCTTGAAGAAAAAAAAAAGCACGACTGTGTTTTTTCGTTTTAAAATGCCAACTCCGAGGTGTATTTTCGTAATGGTATTTTATGGTTGTATCTTCATTTTCTTGTCTCATTTCATAGAAATGTGAAGAATATGTTACAGCAATGGAGATGATTTTGTGATTGGTTTCACAATGAAAAGTACCTTGGAAATTGAGCTAAAGTAGCAGAAAGTTTCGATTTTTGCCGATGTTCAAGAGTAAAACAAACGATGTCACCCACTCATTACGTATCCAACTGGCCATCTAATACGCAATCATGAATGGGTTGACATTATTTTATACAATCATTACACATAAAGCAGTATGTGGAGTTAATAAAATTATTAGTCAGAGGGCTGAAGAGGGGTTGTTGAGGTGGTTTGGTCATTTAGAGAATGGGTCAAAGTAGAATGACATTATTTTTTTTTATTAACACACTGGCCGATTCCCACCAAGGCAGGGTGACCCAAAAAAGAAAAACTTTTCAACCATCATGCCACTCCTTCACGTCTTGCCAAAGGGTGCTTTACACTACAGTTTTTAAACTGTAGCATTAACACCCCTCCTTCAGAGTGCAGGCACTGTACTTCCCATCTTCAGGACTCAAGTCCGGCCTGCCGGTTTCCCTGAATCCCTTCATAAATGTTACTTTGTTCACACTCCAACAGGACGTCAAGTATTAAAAACCATTTGTTTCCATTCACTCCTATTAAACACGCTCATGCATGCCTGCTGGAAGTCCAAGCCCCTCGCACACAAAACCTTCTTTACCCCCTCCCTCCAACCTTTCCTAGGCCGACCACTACCCCGCTTCCTTCCACTACAGACTGATACACTCTTGAAGTCATTCTGTTTCGCTCCATTCTCTCTACATGTCCAAACCACCTCAACAACCCTTCCTCAGCCCTCTGGACAACAGTTTTGGTAATCCCGCTCCTCCTCCTAACTTCCAAACTACGAATTCTCTGCATTATATTCACACCACACATTGCCCCCAGACATGACATCTCCACTGCCTCCAGCCTTCTCCTTGCTGCAACATTCATCACCCATGCTTCACACCCATATCAGAGCATTGGTAAAACTATTCTCTCATACATTCCCCTCTTTGCCTCCAAGGACAAAGTTCTTTGTCTCCACAGACTCCTAAGTGCACCGCTCACCCTTTTCCCCTCATCAATTCTATGATTCACCTCATCTTTCATAGACCCATCCACTGACACGTCCACTCCCAAATATCTGAATACATTCACCTCCTCCATACTCTCTCCCTCCAATCTGATATCCAATCTTTCATCACCTAATCTTTTTATCCTCATAACCTTACTCTTTCCTGTATTCACTTTTAATTTTCTTCTTTTGCATACCCTACCAAATTCATCCACCAACCTCTGCAACTTCTCTTCAGAATCTCCCAAGAGCACAGTGTCATCAGCAAAGAGTAACTGTGACAACTCCCACTTTATGAGTGATTCTTTATCTTTTAACTCCACGCCTCTTGCCAAGATCCTGCTGGAAGTCCAAGCCCCTCGCACACAAAACCTCCTTTACCCCCTCCCTCCAACCTTTCCTAGGCCGACATGGAGAGTGTATAAATCTCTAGGGGGAGGAAGGTGGGGTAGGAGTCGTCCTTGAAAAGGTTGGAGGGAGGGGGTAAAAGAGGTTTTGTGGGTGAAGGGCTTGGACTTCCAGCAAGCATGCGTGAGCATGTTAGATAGGAGTGAATGGGACATGACGAGCTGTTGGGGTGTGAGCAGGGTAATACTTAGTGAAGGGATTCATGGAAACCGGTTATTTTTATATAGCCAGACTTGAGTCCTGGAAATGGGAAGTACAATGCCTGCACTTTAGAGGAGGGGTTTGGGATATTGGCAGTTTGGAAGGATATGTTGTGTATCTTTATATGTATATACTTCTAAACTGTTGTATTCTGAGCGCCTCTGCAAAAACAGTGATTATGTGTGAGTGAGGTTAAAGTGTTGAATGATGATGAAAGTATTTTCTTTTTGGGGATTTTCTTTCTTTTTTGGGTCACCCTGCCTAGGTTGTAGATGGCCGACTTGTTAAAAAAAAAAATGCAGTAGTCTGTGTAACAGTAAATTTATTTTTTGTGTGAATAAAAATTCAAAATGGAAACCAAGAGTAATATAAGAGGGGCCTGGAGATGTAACTAATGAGCAGAGAAAATGCTATTTTAGTGCCAGGAATGTCTGCATTGTTTATTCTGGACCCTATTTTGAAAGTGGCAACTTTTGAAATTTGTGTAAAATTGGCCAAATTGCCAATTTCTGATCACTTTATTGGGTAGTTGAAATAGTTGACTGGGTGATTTTTTGTGTTCAATATATAAAATGGAACACATACTTGTGAAATAGCTAAGAATTTGGTCTATTAGAACTCAAAGCGGCAGATTGCCAATGCATAAATATTGCTGACAGGCAAAATTCACATGAGTGTAATTTCATCACTTTTTGATCAAATTTCGTACTTTTTGTTTTATTACCTTCCAAAAAAGTCTCTACCATTTCATAAGAAAAAAAAATATTTTTTTTAAAATTCTTGGACCCTGTGGGGAATTTTCAGATTAGGGGTCTGGACCCTGAAAGGGAAATAGTACTTAAGAAAAAACAGGAAGCATTAAGAAACTGACGCTGAGCACCGCATTAAAAATTTTTTTTAGTAATATGAGAATGGGATAAGTGTCATCTTACTAACATTAAAATTTTTTAATGGTATAATCAATAATAACCAAAATTTTGTTCATAATAGTGTATTATAGATGGACAGACATTTTAAGAAAGGGATTTTACACAAATTTCCATTAAGAGCACAGTGTGAAGTTATCGTAATAATGTATCATACCTGAATTTTCAGTCTGAGCTGCAGGCAAATAAATATTTTCAAATATGTATGTGACCATTTTGTCCCAAAGCTTCTTAGCAAGTGCATCTTCCCACTGCTTGGGTGAAACCTGCGACAAGTTTACCACTTCATCCAATATATCACCTCGGGCCTTTTCAAATAATTCATCGCGATCCAGTTCTCGAGTTCTGTAAATAACAAAAGGGTGCATTAACACAAAATTTGGAAAAAAAAAAGACTGAAGAAACAAATATTGTACTAACAAAAATGCAACAATAAGAGGTGAGAGGAATTGTATAGGATTCATCCCATCATCAACTACACACCAGTGGTTGTATCTAAGATGTTTATTACTTGGTAAAAACACATCTTTGACATTTAGATTCACAGACTGCCACATTTGAGGATGACTATGGGGTTGTCAAGGATGAGAATCTTGAACAGTGAACATAGCTTGACTGCAGGAGTAAAACAATGTTTGAACTACTCAACAAACAGGGCCTCAGTTATCCATGCTTTCTCATTAGTGCCAAAAAACTGGCACTGATGCAGAGAAGCAAGCTGAGACTATCCTTATCTGCCTGAATCTTAGGAACACATTTTTCCTGCTTGTTAATTCAAATTCTCAATGACAAATGCTTCAAAAAACTTTTCACCTGTAACCATATCAACATCAATTCTTAGCCTAGCTACATTTTTTTCACTAGAATTTCTCAATCATGTTAAGACAACCTAGCAAAGTGTAACTGCATTCTAATGTACTTCAAGACACCATACAAATAATGAACTATTATTTGCATCTCTCTCTTTGTAATTACCTTAATTTTTGGATGCTCTACAATTCAGTAATAAAAAATTAACTATCCACAGTAGAGACAAAGTTTTCAACACCATGCACAATTTTAAGGTTAACATTCATAATACAATCTCACCTCGGAAAGTTATTTTTCCACTCAGTTTCAAGGTTAAATCTTGTTGCCTTAAAAGCATCTGCCTGCTGTTCCACAGTGTCTCTCACCATCTTCCAGAAACATTCAGAAACTGCAAAACTTAAGTTTCTGGTTGTACACTGATGGCTGTTGATCACGCCACCTCTGTTAGTAAGGAAAAAATTAGTAGTACGTTATACTATGTTATTTTCTATTTTTATTATATCTGTTTCTATTTTATTTCTATTTATGGGGTGTACATAAAAAATATGCTGCAATTTTGCAAAGTGTGTTAACAGATCACTTGTCTTTTTTGTGTTTGTACACGTGCGTGTGCACTGCGTGCACATACACATGACCAGTGATGGGGTGAGGGCCAGGAGTTCCAATTTGACCCCTGCAACCACGAACAGGAGAATACAAATAGCACACACAACACGCACATAGAGTACAGACCATCAGATAACACGTGATGCATTACCACATTTTACAAAATTGTGGCATATTTTTGGAATACATGCCGTAAAAATTGGTTTACACGGTGGAGTACATGTGGGGAAAGTGTGGCAAACATCGCGGTACTTCCCCTTCAGGGCAAGCCCATTGCTTTATGGGCTAGTGAGTGGCAGTGTGCACACTAGTTGATGGAAGCAGCAGGCCTACTTCCCTATGCTAGGCATGTCCTTCACAAACCCAACCCAACCCCTTTTCCTGTAAAGATTACTAAAAAGAATAAGAAGAAGAAAATTGTCAAGGTGGGAAGTCTGAATGTGCGCGGATGTTGTGCAAATGATAAGAAAGAGATGATTGTGGATGTTATGAATGAGAAGAAGCTGGATGTCCTGGCTTTAAGTGAAACAAAGCTGAAGGGGGTGGGAGAGTTTCAATGGAGAGGAATAAATGGGATTAGGTCAGGGGTTTCAAATAGAGTTAGAGCTAAAGAAGGAGTAGCAATAATGTTGAAGGATAAGCTATGGCAGAAAAAGAGGGACTATAAATGTATTAATTCAAGGGTTATGTGGAGTAAAATAAAGATTGGATGTGAAAAGTGGGTTATAGTAAGCGTGTATGCACCTGGAGAAGACAGAAGTGTAGAGGAGAGAGAGAGATTTTGGTAAATGTTGAGTGAATGCGTGGGGAGTTTTGAATCAAGTGTGAGAGTAATGGTGGTTGGGGATTTCAATGCTAAAGTGGGTAAAAATGTTATGGAGGGAGTAGTAGGTAAATTTGGGGTGCCAGGGGTAAATGTAAATGGGGAGCCTTTAATTGAGCTATGTGTAGAAAGAGATTTGGTAATAAGTAATACATATTTTATGAAAAAAAAGAGGATAAATAAATATACAAGGTATGATGTAGCACGTAATGAAAGTAGTTTGTTAGATTATGTATTGGTGGATAAAAGGTTGATGGGTAGGCTCCAGGATGTACATGTTTATAGAGGAGCAACTGATATATCGGATCATTATTTAGTTGTAACTACAGTTAGAGTAAGAGGTAGATGGGAAAAGAGGAAGGTGGCAACAACAAGTAAGAGGGAGGTGAAAGTGTATAAACTAAGGGAGGAGGAAGTTCGGGGGAGATATAAGCAACAGTTGGCACAAAGGTGGGCTAGTGCAAAGATGAGTAGTGGGGGGGGGGGGGGGGTTGAAGAGGGTTGGAATAGTTTTAAAAATGCAGTATTAGAATGTGGGGCAGAAGTTTGTGGTTACAGTAGGGTGGGGGCAGGTGGAAAGAGGAGTGATTGGTGGAATGATGAAGTAAAGGGTGTGATAAAAGATAAAAAGTTAACTTATGAGAGGTTTTTACAAAGCAGAAGTGTTATAAGAAGAGCAGAGTATATGGAGAGTAAAAGAAAGGTGAAGAGAGTGGTGAGAGAGTGCAAAAGGAGAGGAGATGATAGAGTGGGAGAGGCACTGTCAAGAAATTTTAATGAAAATAAGAAAAAATTTTGGAGTGAGTTAAACAAGTTAAGAAAGCCTAGGAAAAGTACGGATTTGTCAGTTAAAAACAGAGTAGGGGAGTTAGTAGATGGGGAGAGGGAGGTATTAGGTAGATGGCGAGAATATTTTGAGGAACTTTTAAATGTTGATGAAGAAAGGGAGACGGTAATTTCATGCACTGGTCAGGGAGGTATACCATCTTTTAGGAGTGAAGAAGAGCAGAATGTAAGTGTGGGGGAGGTACGCGAGGCATTACGTAGAATGAAAGGGGGTAAAGCAGCTGGAACTGATGGGATCATGACAGAAATGTTAAAAGCAGGGGGGGATATAGTGTTGGAGTGGTTGGAACTTTTGTTTAATAAATTTGTGAAAGAGGGGAAGGTACCTAGGGATTGGCAGAGAGCATGTATAATCCCTTTATATAAAGGGAAAGGGGACAAAAGAGATTGCAAAAATTATAGACGAATAAGTTTATTGAGTATACCAGGAAAAGTGTACGGTAGGGTTATAACTGAAAGAATTAGAGGCAAGACAGAATGTAGGATTGCGGATGAGCAAGGAGGTTTCAGAGTGGGTAGGGGATGTGTAGATCAAGTGTTTACATTGAAGCATATATGTGAACAGTATTTAGATTAAGGTAGGGAAGTTTTTATTGCATTTATGGATTTAGAAAAGGCATACGATAGAGTGGATAGGGGAGCAATGTGGAAGATATTGCAAGTATATGGAATAGGTGGTAAGTTACTAAATGCTGTAAATAGTTTTTATGAGGATAGTGAGGCTCAGGTTAGGGTGTGTAGAAGAGAGGGAGACTACTTCCCGGTAAAAGTAGGTCTTAGACAGGGATGTGTAATGTCACCATGGTTGTTTAATATATTTATAGATGGGGTTGTAAAAGAAGTAAATGCTAGGGTGTTCGGGAGAGGGGTGGGATTAAATTATGGGGATTCAAATTCAAAATAGGAATTAACAGAGTTACTTTTTGCTGATGATACTGTGCTTATGGGAGATTCTAAAGAAAAACTGCAAAGGTTAGTGGATGAGTTTGGGAATGTGTGTAAAGGTAGAAAGTTGAAAGTGAGCATAGAAAAGAGTAAGGTGATGAGGGTATCAAATGATTTAGATAAAGAAAAATTGGATATCAAATTGGGGAGGAGGAGTATGGAAGAAGTGAATGTTTTCAGATACATGTACTTGGGAGTTGACGTGTTGGCGGATGGATTTATGAAGGTTGAGGTTAATCATAGAATTGATGAGGAAAAAAAGGTGAGTGCTGCATTGAGGTATATGTGGATTCAAAAAACGTTATCTAAGGAGACAAAGAAGGGAATGTATGAAAGTATAGTAGTACCAACACTCTTATATGGGTGTGAAGCTTGGGTGGTAAATGCAGCAGCGAGGAGATGGTTGGAGGCAGTGGAGATGTCCTGTCTAAGGGCAATGTGTGGTGTAAATATTATGCAGAAAATTCGGAGTGTGGAAATTAGGAAAAGGTGTGGAGTTAATAAAAGTATTAGTCAGAGGGCAGAAGAGGGTTTGTTGAGGTGGTTTGGTCATTTAGAGAGAATGGATCAAAGTAGAATGACATGGAAAGCATATAAATCTATAGGGGAAGGAAGGCGAGGTAGGGGTCGTCCTCGAAAGAGTTGGAGAGAGGGGGTAAAGGAAGTTTTGTGGGCAAGGAGCTTGGATTTCCAGCAAGTGTGCGTGAGCGTGTTAGATAGGAGTGAATGGAGACGAATGGTACTTGGGACCTGACGATCTGTTGGAGTGTGAGCAGGGTAATATTTAGTGAAGGGATTCAGGGAAACGGGTTATTTTCATATAGTCGGACTTGAGTCCTGGAAATGGGAAGTACAATGCCTGCACTTTAAAGGAGGGGTTTGGGATATTGGCAGTTTGGAGGGATATGTTGTGTATCTTTATACGTATATGCTTCAAAACTGTTGTATTCTGAGCACCTCTGCAAAAACAGTGATTATGTGTGAGTGTGGTGAAAGTGTTGAATGATGATGAAAGCATTTTCTTTTGGGGGATTTTTTTTCTTTTTTGGGTCACCCTGCCTCGGTGGGAGACGGCCGACTTGTTGAAAAAAAAAAAAAAATTGTCAAACTTATTTGGCTTATGAGCTGGGTCTCTTACGATGCATATTACCATGCCTTTGGTCTCAGTGAATCAACCATTGTAACATTCATGACAGCCAGAAGGAAATAAGAGATTGGACAGAGTAATGCATATTGTGACATGATGAAGAGTAAAACATAGGTTAGTTACTGAGTAACACATAGGTCAGTTATTGAAAATGTGGATTTAGTGGAAAACAGAAAAGTGCCCCATTTAGGAGTTAAACAAAAAAGCAGACAGCCTCATCTTACTACCAAAGTGTAAGTAGGCTGGAAAACTTTCACAGGAGTGAACACTTAGTGCTGGTTGGTTTTATAAATTCAAACATCACAGATGACTTCATAACATTCAATTCAGGGGCAGGAGTCCATCAGCTGATCACACTTAACACACTGAAGTGCAGAAATATGCATTGAGACTAGCTCCAGAACTCAGGTATGAGCTACAGGGAAAGGGTAAAGGAACTGAATCTAACAGCCACTGAGAACTGAAAGACTAGAGAAGTCCTGATAACAACATACAAAATACTCAAAGGAATTAACAGGGCAAACAGGGACAGGCTGTTTGAGAGGCAAGTACTAACAGGTACTTAAGGATACAGCCAGAAGTTAAAGACACAGATGAGTTGCAGGGATTACAGGAAATATTTTTTCAGTCTCAAAGCGGTTAGGAAATGGAATGATCTCAACTAAGAAGTGGTGGAGGCAAAATCCATACATAGCTTTAAGAACAGGAATGATAGGGCCCACAAGGCTAGGAAAGAGTCAATTCAGTTAGCAGCAAGTTGAGGGGCAAGGCCAGAAGCCAAGACTTGACCCCTGCATAGGTGAGTACAACAAAAACCATACACTTCAGCCCAGTAGGGTATCATCAACCATATCAACAAACTTCTACAGCAACAAGCAGGAAGAACGAGGAAGTGAAGGTAAGATAAGACTTGTTCTTGTCACATTTGGTTGCTGGAGATTGTGAGGACACATTTTCTGTGGGGAAAAAAAAAAAAACCCACACACACATACTGAAATGAGTGAACAATCAGCTTCCCATAGGTCTCAGGAATTATAGGTGAAGGTGCTAAGTTGTGTTAGGTGGTGACAAGTG